GGGTCCCCTCAGTGCAAACCCCCTTCCAAGACTAAGACTCAATGGGAATACACGCTCTGATTGGTGACCACGCTCATCACTGATAAAGGGTCAGTGAAAAAGAGGAAGACCCCAATGAAATGGTTTGGCACCGTGCCAGCAGCAATGGGCTCAAGTGCAACAACAATTATAAGGATGGCACAGGACCGGGCAGTGTTTAATTTTGTTGTGCATAGGGTTGCCATGAGTCAGAACCAACTGGATGGTACCTAACAACAACAAAGAAGTATGTGGGTAATAATGATATATGTTATTGGTTGAATTATTTCCTTGGAATATGTGTTAAGATTCTAAACCTATTGTCTGTAATATGGTCCTGTTTGGAAATGGTTGAGGGATTATTTTGTTATGTTAATGATGTCATATCTATGTAGGTTTGATCCTAAACCTAATCATTTCTAAGTGGTGTCTTATAAAAAGACTAGAATAGACACAGAAACACACAGAGAGGGAAGAGGAAGACAGACAATGGAGACAGATGCAGCTATAAACCCAGGAATACTAAAGATTACTGGTGACTAGCAGAAGCTGAAATAAACAAGGAAGGATCTTCTCTGATAGCCACATCCTGAATTCAGACTTCCTAAATTGTAAGAAAATAAGTTTATGTTTTTTACAGCCACCAGTGTGTGGTAGTTCTTTTACAGTGGCACTGGGTAACTAAGATTAAGTGCAGGAGTTAGGGGAGGAAGTGAGACTTACCTATCTCAAATATTATAAAATCACAAAGGGTCTTAATGCAAATGTGTCTGAGCATTGTCTAGGAACTCGACTGCAGCTAAGGTTGTATGTGATTGGCTCCATGTTGAAATCACAGCTCCAATTTCACCGAGAATGTTCATTAAACAGCATAGTTTGTGTGCACAGTCTGCAGTATCATGGCTTAATGTAGTGAAAGTGACACACAGAACCAGAGAGTAAAAACTAACTCCAGAGAACAAGAATTCTGGAAAAGATTCTTTATTAAAATAAAGTCCTTCTTCTCATGTGGGCCCAGACGAGATGGCCATTACTGGTCAAAGCACTCGTTGTATTTACCAAAGCTGATTCTATCAAAGAAATGTTCTAGAGAGTGTGGATAGCCACCAAGATAGCCAATATGTTCATGATGTTCCCATTGGCAATTTAGTTTGATCTCTTATTTTATGAACACTGGTTTCACACACACACACAAATAAACCTTTCTTAGTGGTCTTCATTTGATAAAAAGTAATTTTACGTCTAACTTAATTAGCAAAAATGCAAAGAACA